GGGTATCACAGTTTAAAAAAATAGCTCAATGGGAAAACATTCAGGATGAATGCCATTTGATATAATTGCAGATGATGGACGTATACACATGTGATAGTAACTACAATGGCAAAAATGAAGGAAGGGCTTGTTGCAGGATAGCCCACGTGCCTAATCATAAAGAACTAGTTTTGAATAACACACGTGCGACTTGTGAATTGATTTCGCTTAGTTTACATAAAACATGAAAAAGGGTGGCTGACAGGGATACTTTTTTCGTCAATTTTATCTAAAGGATTTAGAAAAAAAATCAACAGTTGAATCCAGAATAAATTAAAAATGTGATTTCAAAAATATCAAACCAGTAGGTATTACCACTGCGCCATCCGACCACCTAGGACACTGATGGTGTGATGTTCAACCCCTGACGAACATAAAACATTGCTTGTAATAATAAACGGGAATTACTCTATGCAGTAGAACAGTTAAGATAGTCTGCTTACAGCGACATATACATGTACATCAATTTATAAAAGTATAATTTCTTAAGTTAACCATGGAACCCAAAGACATGTTCAAGAGTGGATGAAACCATTGTTTTCAGTCGAAGGCACATATAATGTTGGGTAAGAGACAAAGAAGGGTCCAAAATGTTATTTGAAGTAGTGTTCAAGGCCAGAGCCCATGGTAGAGGACCCAAATGTGCATGAGTCTAACAGAAGCAATCCTGTTTATGAAGAAATTGTCTTCAATTGTCGTACGGTTGATGGACTCTACTTTCCACCGTCCCAGAGGAAATGCTGTCTTTGCCTGTCCTCAACTGTCCTACGGTTGATGGACTCTACTTTCCACCGTCCCAGAGGAAATGCTGTCTTTGCCTGTACTCAACTGTCCTACGGTTGATGGACTCTACTTTCCACCGTCCCAGAGGAAATGCTGTCTTTGCCTGTCCTCAACTGTCCTACGGTTAATGGATTATTCTTTCCACCGTCGTAGAGGAAATGCTGTCTTTGCCTGTTCTCAACTGTTCCACGGTTGATAGACTCTTCTTTCCACCTCCCAGAGGAAATGCTGTCTTTCTCTTTCATAAACAGAACTAACATCTACAACTGCTGAAAAAGGATAAAGTTTCGGTTGATTTTAATCCGTAGGTATCTGATCTCAAGTCTGAGGGATCATGCGCAGACCACTGTGTTAGTAAGGATTCAGATTCTGATTTTCTCGATGCGTCTAATGGAAGAGAAAAGTTGTGTCTCCTTCTTCCAAGTAAACAGAAGAGATTATCAACGATTGTCTGAGATGGTCACATCTACTTGTCTACCATTTACCAGTTGCATGACAATCGTCTTATATATTCTTAGATTAAGACATTTAAGATGTATTGTGTACGAATGTATTTATTTAGCCATGAAGTTCGGATAAATCTCTGTCTCTCTCTCTCTTAATTAAAAATGATTTATAAATGATTATTTTGAGCCGTCTTGTAATGTATATAAACAAAATTGTTTTTTTCTTTCAAAGGAAAGGGCGTTGATAATGTTGATGTAACTTGTACCCAATCATTCTGCTTTACGGCAATAAAACACATTTTAACTCACTAAACTTGTCGATGAAAAGTCAACCTTTGTTCACAATGTAAAAATATGGATAACCAAGACTATCTAACTCTGACTGGGTATAACATAGAGCAGCTGCCAAAAATTCATAGCCGATGTCCACATCCAATATATTCCCTGTTTTTATCAATTATCGTTGGTTAGCAATGGGAAATTTAGGCATTTTTTAAATTAGCAGATATTAAATAAATTTGTTCAACAAATGCCTTTTGCATAAGACTAATTTCCAAATGGAGCTGTCTCTTTAATTGGAATGGATCTCACATAAAAATGTAATGTATTTCGACATAGTTGCTACATTGTGATAAAGGCACGTGATCAAGTTTCTAAAAAGTGGCATAATATTCATTTCAAATTGATATCACGAGAGTGTGCAAACATCAAAGAAAAAAGAAGAATATCGTGTGTACTAAACGTCTTCTGCTTCTAGACCTATCTGAGCATGAAAAGACACAGTACCGATTGATGTCGCGATGGCGGTAACAAAATGTCATTTCTTCCTAACCAACCTACATCTCTCGAACTGCATGCCTGAAAACGGAATCATCGATCGATGAATAGTTAAGAGGGGAGAGAGAAGTTGAACTGGATTGGACAATCCCTACCTACCGTGCCATTTTTCGCTGGGATATACGTTACAACATTACATTTCTATGAACGTCTAAATAAGGTAACGTTCAATCCATATATTTTAAGTAAATATATCTAAAACACAAACGAACTTGACAGTACATCGAAGAGAAAAGCTGTGGAGATCAATATTATCATATTAACCTACATCGGAGATGACGGGGATAATGTTGGCGCTGTATTGTTTACTTCTGGTAACAAGTAAGTTATTCTACAAATAACATATTTATCTTCGAATATTTATTTATTTATCTATTTATTTATGTGACGTACATCTTCTTAAATAATTTTCTCACCTGTAGTTTGATATTTATAAACCATATACGTAAAAGAATGGTTTTGTCTGATTATTGTGTTTTGTTCAATGTTGATATATGTGTATCGCGTCAGATAATGATTATGTAGCCAATATCTGTTTATTATGAAACCATATAATGATGTGTGGAAGATTGGAGTCTCTCTCTCTCTCTCTCTCTCTCTCTCTCTCTCTCTCTCTCTCTCATACACACACACATATACACACACACACACACACACACACACACACCCTCACAACACACACCCTCACACACACAATTGTGCCACTTTGTCCTTTTTTTAAAACATGTAAGATTTTACACTTCCTAATTTTCGCCCGCCCTTCATTACAATAAGAACGACTTATTTCGTCGCATTTAGGTTTGAAATATACTTTCAACAGTGCTCTAACACAATAGTAAGATTTTATATATTACACATTTTTTTTTCAAATTGTCCAAATAATCTTTTTCTCGGGTTTGTGATATTCTTCATATTTCTCGTAAAGTCCTATGCTGATAAAGGAGACTTGAAAATACTTTCTCACTCCTTACATCTTTTTAGTTGATGGTTTTGCTTTGGGACAATATACTTACACTGACTCTGAATTAACAAAGACTTCACATGTGAATAAAACCTTTTAATACTTTAGAGTTAGATACAGTAAAGCCAAACAATTGATCAAACAGCATTACAGAGCTTTTTCGTCACTCTTGGATTTTTGAAGCCAAGGAGGCCACTAAGAAAACTCCAAGTTGATCGAAAGAAAGACAATATCTAGGCGGGAATGACCACTAGCCCATAATTCAATAAATATCGTAATTGTCATAGATTTTACAAAAGACACACAAGTAAACTTACTACCAAGTGTTCATTCTGAATCGCGCTAATATTAAATAACTTAAAACGTGGCGGAAACCGAAGTTCACCAGCATTGTCCAAAGATTGTTCAAAAGGCACAAAACTGAAATAGCAGGACTATGTTTAAGAGTCGCTTTAGCAGTGTAAGGAATTGTAGCAGAGATTCTGTCAAATTTCGCATTACTTCAATTTGTTTGGCCAGTCTGTATTATCCGACTGAGCTAACGTAGCAACGAATGCACAGAGAAAATGACGACTGGTATCAATACTTGGTACGGAAAATAAAATAGTAGTTATTTCTGGATGAATAACTGTTTTACCGCTTGCCTTGCACCCGTGACAAATATCAAAGTTTTCACTCCACTTAACTGAATAAAAAATGAATAAAACATGAATTCAGCAAGAAACATGAATTGTCCTCTATATATTGTTGTTATCAAATGAATATACTTTCCTACCTTCTGTTCAATTAATTTTTTCGATATTCATCTCTTGGTATATATACGGTAAATGTGACCTGTAAAGAAATGGAGATTAGAAGACAGTAGCTTATTATTTCTGCGTTCAAATCTATAATTCAACGTTGATAAAATAACTATGTTCAAACCTTACATGAAAAATAAAAGCATATCAGTATCTTAAAGGATTAAAATCGTGTCCTTACTTAGTTATGACCATCTCTACGCATGGTCTGAGCTTCACTTTACAAAGACTGGCAGCAATGCTCACTTTAGGACCGCGTTCATGTCCTGTAGTTGAAATGAAACCATTCCATGATAAACGAAGCATTATCGTGAAAATATGCAAAGGAATATATTTTAGTCATGCAAAATGTTATATTTCTTTATATACTTTTATTTACATTATTCTCTATATGGTTGCCGATAATGACCATATATTGCTATGTCGCTGTGGAAAAGTGAGCAAATAAGAGATATATATATATATCTACCAGGGATAAAGAAACGCAAGATATCGAGTATAATGTTCGATATTTTAAAGTTAGAATGAACATTAATACATACAGAACAGACTGCAACGATTTGTACCTGGTAAGTAATTGAAGGGAATTTGAAAGAGAACACTGTAATCTGAAATCGAAATGGACTTATTGTGGGAGTTGGCTAGTCATTACCGGGTAAGTCCCCATTCGCTCTCGCCGCAGCCCTGATTCTCCTAGGCATGGACTTCAAGAGTGAGTTTAACCTCCTCATTGGGATGTTGGCCCATTCTTGCAAGAGGGTTGCTCTAAAATTGGCCAGAGTAACATGGGGAAGCTGGCGTCGTCGAACCTGTCTATCAAGCTGGTCCCACAAGTGCTCAATAGGGGATAGGTTGGGGCTGTATGGCGGCCAGTCCAGTGAGTGGATATTGTTGTTAGAGAGAAAGTCGCGACAGATCCTCGCTACATGGGCCGAGCATTATCCTGCTGGACTGTGAGGCTGTTTTGCTGCAATAATGGGACAACATGGGGTCGGATAATCTCATCTCTATACCAAGCGGCTATCACAACCAGTGGTGATTTACATCCATGTGAGATTCCTCCACACACAATAACCGATTCACCCCAAACCTATCCGTCTCTATTACGCAGCAGTCGACAAAACGTTCTCAACGATGTCGATATACACGACGTTGACCGTTTGCTCGAAACAGGGTGAACCGGAACTCATCAGTAAACAAGACGCGCCTCCACTGCCTCAATGGAAATATTCGGGGGCATGTGCCGCACCCGAGCCATACGACGCTGGCAATGAGCAGCGGTAAGGGGCAGACCTACAAACGGGTGACGTGCAAGCAAACCAACTTCCCGGAATCGTTTCCTTGCATGGATAAAACGGTTATGAGTTCTATCATATGAAGAGCAGATTCAGTGGCAGTATGGTGTCGATTACGCAAATGCGCAAGAAGATCAAACCTGTTCTGAAGTTGTGACGTCACGCGCGGACGTCTAGACCTAGGTCTGTCAGCAAACCCGCCCAATTCCCCTTAGACGTCTAACAAGACATTCTATATTGCAAATATGGACACCGAAATGTCTGGCAACCTGTGTTTGTCCTTGACCTTGCATACTCATCGGAACTTAATCGAAATGTTATAAATGTACATTTGTATGAGAATGTGAAGATGAATTATTCATATACACATACGGCTATACAATCGTTGATAAAACAGGAGACATATCAATTATTGATATTAAATTGGTACGAGATGATTGTTACGCTTTTATTATCCATCATTCAAAAACCACTCAGCAAAACGAATATTTTCAGATAAGAAAAAATATATCAATATGTATATCCCGGGTAGAATTGTAACTATGTACCTAACAGACCCCGTGCTCACCAATCAACACTTAAGTTAAGATACTCCTGTTAAAGGAAATAATCACTAGAGATATAATTATAAGAATATTAGAACATATTACATATGTTTCCTTTTACAATAAACGTATGTCCATGATGACTTTAACAGACGTTTATATGATAAAGTGATAAATGTACAATGTAGTACCAATATATCAATTTCTTCGTTATATTTCGTTATAGTGACATTGGCGTCAGGTGGTGAAGAATGGACATTGCTGTTTAAAGGAGTTACTGGTGGTAAGTGCATTTTACACGACAAGCGTGAATTTACTTATGGCCAATAGTACATTACAGGGAGATTATTCACACTGTAGTGATTCGTTTTACACAATGGACAGAACATCGACACAAAAATTTTAAAAAGAATGTTTCGGTGATCAGCTGATCTGACAAAACTTCAAATAAATTTTGAATAGTAAAGTTTCATGTGTAAAACATGTCTCTAGTGCACCATTTTATGTAAAGGAATTGTCATTTTCTGATGTTATAGAAAAAAGTAGTTTATTTAGCACATTGTACACCTGTGACGTAGAGAGAATGTCAGGGGTCATTCGTTACACGAAAACGAAGCATGCGTGTTTACCAACATGTAAAATAGCTTGAAAATTGCAGGGATGATTTAGATAAGAATTGTAATATGAACAGATACAGTAAGTGAACATGTCAATAATTGTTAGATATATGGTTCTTAATTATAAATGAAGCAAATTCTGATGCTGCTGAAATTGAAACAAAATCATTCATGCTTAGTGCTACTGCTTTGATAGGTGTTACATCACACAAGACGTAAACACATCAGAAAAGTCACAATTGACTTTCGAGATAAGGAAATACTTACATGACGATATGAATACTTGACAGATGTTTACAACATCGTCTTCTGAAATATATATTTCTCAGTAATATTGTCTGCTTTAAAACTTTAAACACTTTTGCTGATATTAGCACAAATAATTCAGATCCAATGTATGCTTTGTTGCGTTAAGGATTTCCCACTGTAAATGAGATAGGAGAATAGATTACACACTTCTAGAAAGTAGAAGTCAGGATTACTCGCTAAACTTTTGGTATACCTGTACAATGTATATCAATTAATTTCCTTCATGATAATAGTAAACTTAATGCATAGAAACCAGACAAACAGTATAGTTTATATTGTTTAATGCTTTATTGAACAACACCGATGGGATTAATTCTAATGAGAAAACGGTTAATTATAGAAAAAATAACATTTAGAAATAATTGAAAAATTCCAAAAATGGGTAGTTTTGATCAGGGCTAGTGAGAATAAATGATTCATTAGCCCCTGGGCTTGTTGAACATTTTCAGAATTAAACACCCTTGTTTATATTCAATGGAAAGGAGTAAAACAAGTAGTATTTAGTCTCAGAAGTGTGATACTATCAAAGAAAACTATTTGCATCTAAGGACACAAGAAAGAATCTACATATTTAAATATTTTTATTTTATAGATAAAATACTTAAGTACAGCTATATCGTCCATTACATAGATATGAGCTTTATTTTTTATTTATTTTTTATCGATTATGGTTTTATTTGTGCTTTTCTGTCTCGTTTTGTCTACAGGATCGAAAAATATTTATGATCTATTCATGGGAAATGCAACATTCAATAGTTTTGTGAAGGAAGCGCAGTACCTCAATAATTCCTTCCCAGATCATTACAAGTCGGATATCATCAACTACTGGAACGACATGAACATAACGAAGGTAGGAACATTATGCAACCACGATACTCCAGTGGTTACGATCACTTTCGCTCTCTGCACCCCTGGAACATGTCATGACACAATCGAAGGCACAAGCGAAGTAAATAGATTGGTTCTAGGGGGAAAAACCTAATCGATCACAGACTGATTAGATCCTTTTGGAAACTTCAACTTCAACTTCAAAGTCATTACAATATATTACTGTTATTCGACTTAGCGATTCGTTTGGTGTACATCAAATTATCAAACAAGTCTCTTCGTCTTATCCACAAGGTGTCTCACATCGAACCTTCGATTTTGCCAAGACACGTTCAGAGTGCAGAGAACGAAAGTGATTTTTACCTCTGGAGTATCCAGAATACTGTCATACTGTTACTATAAATAGATACATTCGTAGTATCTCGAATTACTGACGAGGTATTTGTAAGATCAATAATGAAGAAAAGAGCATCGATGAATCAGGCAGCTCCTCATTTCACCAAGTCTTGTTCTGGCCCAGTAACACACAACAAAATTTAGCACTAATTGGTGAAAATCTGTAAAATATTAACTATTTGATATAATATACATTTTTAGAGTGGTATGCTTAATATCTAATCACTATAAGTGCTTATCCGTCACGGCTTCTGATCATAGATCGAAATCATGAGATTATACAGTGTTAAGTGATAACCAAGCAATGATATGAGGTGGGCAAGTAAGTTTACATCAGTTAGCTAAAGATTGTGTGGGTTGGTGAGGGAAAATATCATTGATGTTCACTTTTGTCCATTGTTACGACATAGGTAAATAATCAAAATTGTAATTAAGAAAAAAAATAAATGTTTTACTTGGTTAATGGCTACGTCCAGCTGGTTTTCTTTAAGTTTAATATAAGGTATCATTACCCATATCGGCAATGACATCGAGTACCAAATGAGTCGACAGAATTAGATAGAATCAACTAGAACTATTGGTCAAGCAACCTGTGATATATTGATCTATTGTATGTCATAACATAATATTTTGGGTGAAGGATTTTATATCTATTTATAGGTGAAAGTCGGCGTTTACATTGGACAGGTACAGAAAGCGTTCTTTGAATTTAATGCGCTGGGATGTGATAAGTCTGAATGGTTTGCCAGGTCCAAACTCACCAATTCTTCCTACACCGATCTTTTGGACACAAATACAAGAATCAACTTCTTTTCAATGGAAGGGTAAATCCTCTTCAGTGATCAATTTACGATTTATTCTCATGAGTTCTTTTTTAGCTTGATTGCTAAAAATGACTAGTCCCACAATGAAAATTTTGATTATTACCAGAGAAAATTCGTTTAGTGCAGCACTCGGGTATCGTATGTAGACTGGTCACTGTATGTTAAATGTACTCAATAACTTTATATTTTGAATATTAAGCGTTGCTACCTACTTTCTGTTAAAACTCGTCTATTTCAAATACATCATCTTCTTGTTTTTTAATTGTATGTATTGTGGCATGACACACATAAGATGTTTTCGTGAATTATACATGCAGTTGTTGAAAAATTCATAGTCAACTCAACAAATGTATAGCAATACCTGAAATAGACATTTTCTGACGGCAGCATACAACAGTTAAATCTCTAATGTAATAGTCACTTTGCAAAATATCTCCGGAAATCCTTTTTATCTCGTTTTCATATTATGTCTACCACTAATGGAAACAAGAAATATTTCATCATCAACGCGATATTTATTACAATCTTGCATTCTACATACATGATCTATCTAGATTTCTGTACTCGCCATTGTCTCCGATGCTTACAATACAAAATTACACGCTCACGTTAGAACTATGTCTGTGACACCAGCTAGTAGACTTTAGAAATTAGGCTTCCAATTTAACATTGATCAGAGTACAGTTACGAAAGACGAGTATTTTATCGATGAGGTATTGTTTCAGGCACAAAGGGAGACGGGGACATAGCCTTCATATCCGACGATTTTTCATCAATTCCTTTTACAGAGGATGTTCGGAAGACGTAGGATGGTTTTTAGTGTATGATTTGGGAAGTCGAGGTGTTTGTGCCTGGGAAGTGGATTATGTTCCTGAAACACCGGCAATACTTTTCATTCCGCGATCACAGGCTGCAGTTTTTTCTAACGGTACTTGAGAAGATAACACCCATCAAGATTGTACTGTAACGATATTAGATACTTCTGTTCATATCTCAATACCGCACACATTAATATATCATAAAGACAAACAGCACACGGCAATATATCATAAAGACAAACAGCACACGGCAATATATCATAAAGACAAACTGCACACGGCAATATATCATAAAGACAAACAGCACACGGCAATATATCATAAAGACAAACTGCACACAGCAATATATCATAAAGACAAACAGCACACGGCAATATATCATAAAGACAAACTGCACACGGCAATATATCATAAAGACAATCTTCATATTTTATCACAAAGATAACCTCTACACGTCACTACATTACAATGATAAACTTACACATCACTACATTACAATGATAAACATACACGTCATTACATCACAATGATAAAGTGTACACGTCACTACATTACAATGATAAACATACACGTCACCACATTACAATGATCAACTTACATGTCACTACATTACAATGATAAACCTACACGTCATTACATCACAACGATAAAGTGTACACGTCACTACATTACAACGATAAACTTTTACGTCACTACATTATAATGATAAACTTACACGTCACTACATTACAATGATAAACTTACACGTCATTACATCACAACGATAAACTTACACGTCACTACATTACAATGATAAACTTACACGTCACCACATTACAATGATAAACTTACACGTCACTACATTACAATGATAAACTTAAACGTCACCACATTACAATGATAAACTTACATGTCACTACATTACAATGATAAACGTACACATCACCACATTACAATGATAAACATACACGTCATTACATCACAATGATAAAGTGTACACGTCACCACATTACAATGATCAACTTACATGTCACTACATTACAATGATAAACATACACGTCATTACATCACAATGATAAAGTGTACACGTCACTACATTACAATGATAACCATACACGTCACCACATTACAATGATAAACATACACGTCATTACATCACAATGATAAAGTGTACACGTCACTACATTACAATGATAAACATACACGTCACTACATTACAATGATAAACTTACACGTCATTACATCACAATGATAAAGTGTACACGTCACTACATTACAATGATAAACTTACACGTCACTACATTACAATGATAACCTTACACGTCACCACATTACAACGATAAACTTACACATCACTACATTACAACGATAAACTTACACGTCACTACATTACAACGATAAACTTACACGTCACCACATTACAACGATAAACTTACACATCACTACATTACAATGATAAACTTACACGTCACTACATTACAATAATAAACTTACACGTCACTACATTACAATGATAAACTTACACGTCACTACATTACAATGATAAACTTACACGTCACCACATTACAATGATAAAGTGTACACGTCATTACATCACAATGATAAAGTGTACACGTCACTACATTACAATGATAAACTTACACATTACTACATTACAATGATAAACTTACACACCATTACATTACAATGATAAACATACACGTCACTACATTATAATGATTAACTTACACATCACTACATTACAATGATTAACTTACACGTCACTACATTACAATGATAAAGTGTACACGTCACTACATTACAATGATAAACTTACACATCACTACATTACAATGATAAACTTACACGTCACCACATTACAATGATATACTTACACGTTACTACATTACAGTGATAATCTAGTCGTGCTATTACATAACAATGATTATTTCTATGAGTTCGTTCCTTATTATATTAGAAATATTTGTCAGACATTTCAAAGAGAAAGGTCCATGGTATGAACTGATTAACGTAATTCAGGAAGATGACGAGAAGGGACCGTAGTATCCGAGCAAAACCTTGATCATCTGATACTAAACAAGTGTTAGAAATGATACACCTTCCTTCAGATTACTTTCTATACTTCTAAATGCATTTTGACATTTCTTTTCAGAAAGAGGAAACCTCAGAGCAGATTTCATGACCATATCAGCACAATGTAAGTCTTACGTCACAATGACTTGACAAATAATTTACATACTAATTAGAAAAAAATATCAAGAATATACCAACATGGCAACATAATCATAATTCAAACTCAATTTCCATAAAACTAGGACAAAATATGAACAAAAAAAAAAAAGGATTAGGCGAAGGCTCCCGAAAAAGTACAAGGCAAATAAGACCAGATGTTCCGGAAGAGTAAGCGTCTTCTGATTCATCGACGACACCCGCATTGTAAGCATTGGTCAATTCAAGTAGGTAATGTCTTGTTCTCACATGAGAACCAATGAGCATCAAATACGTTCGGCATGCTTTTGCGTTTCCTTACAACCTATTATCGATTTTAGACACACAACTTACCTTTTGTCGTGGTCAGTATTTCATCATCTTTCACGTGCTTGTTTAATATTAGAAATTATGGTGACGTGATTTTATTTGTGCAGAAAAACGGTTTCGTGGCTTTCACCATGACTCTTACCTATTAGACAGAAGGAGAAGTCTGAGATTCCAAATGAAACGGGAAAATAAAAAAGCTTTCGCTTCTTAATTTGAGAAAGCAATCTGGATACTCTTTATAGACTACACATGTAGAGTATAAACTATCAAGGGAATTTCTCTTATCCCTTTAGAAACACAATACACGCATTCTATACAATAATGTGTTCGAACAGGTCAGTGATACTGTTTCAAAAGGACGTTTAATGCCAAAACATTATCATGAATATATGCTAATTGCAGTTGGGTCCAATTCTCTGTATATACAATACATCTTGCCGGCTTCGAACTTCGTCAATGAAGAAAAGACAACTACCACGTCTTCAACAGATCCAGAGACCCTCGATGAAAAAGTCGAAGCAATTAAGAAAGAACTGACAGTGGTCAAAAAGGCGACTTCCGGTATGTTGTTTTAATGAATCAATTTGGTCGATATTCATGAGCTTGTTTCCCATAAAAAGATGTTGACAGATGAGAGATGATCGTACAACACAGGGTCACTTGAGATACAGGTTGAAACCAGATATAATTATTAATGGGGAAGTTTAGGGTCGCCAGTAGGTGTCTTATTTCCGTGTATGATATGTGTGTTCGAAAGTCCGAAAGTTATCAACTTGACGTTACTTACATGTTACCTGAATTTCTGGCAATGTGCAACACAATAGTTGGCTTAGCAGACGGTTCGTTACAGTTATGTGTTTTCTTTATGTCTATCAAGTAATTACACTGTATTATCGGAAGAACTGCCTTTCAACTTTTATACGAAAACCATTCATCCTTTCATGTTTCAGCTTATAAACGAACGAAAGTCAGTGCGCATGATAACCGGTCCAGTTCCAAGACCATCGGTACCATCGCAGTTCTGATAATAGTAACAGAATTGCTTCTTATTGTTCTCCCGGATGTAGTGGCGATGTGTCGAGCGATCAACAGAATGGTATGACTTGTTATTGCTGTTGATGGTAGATGTTGTAGGTGATGTGTCGATTGACGTAAAAAGTGTGATGATGCATTATTGTTGATGATGGTCAGATACAGGAACTTAAGGAGTCGAGAGATGTACAAACTGTAATAATGTGTTATTGTTGATGATGGTCAGAGACAGGATCGTAATGTATCGATTGATGTACAAAGCGTGATGATGTTTTCTTAAATGCAGGTCGCCTCAGGTTACGCAACCGGTTTGAGGTGTTGGAACCTATATACCGCATGATGAAACACAATGTATATCGAACGACAATTCTATTTGGAGCTTGTATTTTGTATAATTGTATACTGGATTCCTGAGAGTATGCTATTTTCATATCATAAAACCAGTCGTTGTTCCGATTGGCTGAACATACAGTATTCCCCGGAGAACGAGTCCTACTAAGTGTTTTCAACTGAGTAAAGTGAGAAATAATTCATGGACGACTTCATCGATTGCTGGAAATTGCATTTTCATTTTTAATGTTACGTTTTTATATGTCTGTGTGTGTGTATTTTAATCCGCACATTTAGTGTATTATTGAATACATATGTATATGGTTTGTATTATCGTCGAGGTCTAAAATTATGTTCTGATGAATAAGTTGTCTAAAACACCAATAAGACTATTTCATATGCTGGGGTGTAGGATAGGTATAATCCAGCCGACAGGTCACAAAATGTAAAACCAGCAACTTTGCTGATGGTTTTACCAAAATTTGTATCCTCTCATACACTCTGATACATGAAAGAGTATTTTTCTCTCATTTCACACTTCAAAGTACTGAAAAAAAAAGCTTCAGACGTTGACAATGAACTAGAAAGGACGCCATATTACACGAAAATCATTTTTTTTAAATTGCAATTAGTCGAGAAGTTGACATAGAATAGAAAGTCTTTGTACCTAGATTTTGCATTGTTTGTCCTAGAAAATTAAAAAAAAAAAACAAAACAAAACAAAATACAGTCTCTGCAAATATCTATTTGTACACGAAAGTACAAATTGTATCATGCGATCATTTCTACGCCCGTGTCTGTATTGCACTAGTTGGGTGTGTAAAACAAGAACAGCGAACATGGGTGTACTGGATTGCCCTTGGCTGACCGTCAATACACAGGTAGAAACGTACAGGTACATGAAATATAAATAGAAAATCAATCCTTATATTGGAAGTATGTAGCCAATCGAAAACATAACACAATATTGTCTATCTTATTGGTCGATATTCACCAAGAAAACCTAATACGTTACCTAGATACATGTACAGTCATATAATAAAATGGTAACCGATTGCGACACAAACCACATGTGGGGTGACTAAAATCAATGAATTTACAAACCAATGTTAACCAGAACAGAAAAAAATCTGGATTAACAATTATTCAAGGCACTGTTCAAACTTTTATTTCCATTTTTCCGTACTTTCTACAGATTTCTTTTTTATCTCTTTCCATGTAAGTGTTACCTATGATAAAATTTTTAAAAAACCCAATAGTAATTCCATAACATATCTCTCTAGAAATCCTTCACAGATGGAATGGATCACAACAATATATTGTTTTATTAACAGGTTTATTAAGAAATACAATGTAATTGTGTACGTAAAGCATCTCTTACGAATGACCAGATCTTGCTTTGATAATAAATTCTATAACAATAGTACTTCCAGACACAGTTATAAAACTTCCACAAGTAAAAGCCATTTTTCCTCAGTCATCCAGATTGGTACTTACTCTGTACTGTAGTTCAACTATACAATCCTACAATAAAAGAAAATAATTTTCTCCATTTATCAAGTGCTGTTATCAGAAGTTTTCAATTTACACTATCTCAACAATATTCATATAATAAGGAGGTTATGTCATGCATTCATTTCACATTGTTTTATTATTATTTCTTTTTTTTGTCTAGTTCTATCCATCAAACAAAACATGAACTTCTCAAGTATCCATACTTTACTTAATGATCAAACTTTACTAAGCGCAACAAAAGTCATTTTTACCATACTGTCAAATTCTACATTGTAGATATTAGGGAACAATGCCATTGAAATTCATTAATAAACATAAGATCTCACAAGAGTTTCTGTTTGATATATAATGGTTTTAAATCAAACTTTAAAAAAATCTGATTTAGGAGAGTGGCTTTGGAGAGTTTCAAATGGAAAAAAATTATGATTTTTTAATTACATGATCAATTATTCCATATTGAACTCCATTGTTATATCACAATGCAATCAGTAAGTGCCTGATGTCATTTCATGATCTGAATTTGACAATACAATATTTTTGAAAATTTCTCATTTGTAATATGTAAAAATATCACAGAGGTATACAGTATTCTCAACATACGCACCTGTCCTTGGTAATATTCTTCTCTTATATTTTGAAGTTTGTTATCCGTTGTCATCAAAGTTGTGTCTGAATTGTGTGTTAAGAAAATGTCAACCTAAAAGAAAATGTTTATAGATTATCAAATCTTTTTAATTCTTAGTGGCAGTATGTGATATTCAATGTACCATTGCTGCTCAACAATTCTCATACACCATTAGGTATTATTATATATACATGCATCATTATTCACTTTTTGGAGATATTAGTTTTATATGTCACACCATGCACTGACTTTCATTCAAAATGTCACTTTTTATGTATTTGTAACAAACACTGGCAACAAATATTCTTCCAAGTGCAATTCAATCATAAATTACGCAACAAAAAGATATTGTGAAAGTTGTTGATCTACACAAATAAAGATAGAGATAAAGCAAAAACCAGAACTATCGACCTGGAGATAATACCACAGCAGAGGCAAAGAGTATGTACAACAAATGTATTAGTTACAGTTACAGTAACTGAGTTGTCTGGTCAGGAAGTCAGACAGATTGCCATTTTCTGGTGGCAGGTAGGGAGGAGGGAGAGGGGTATAATTAGGATAGTAATTTTTTTACTGGTACGTGTAGTTGTTTTGCAAAAGTTAATCACTGCCAATTTGTAGTGATGCCGAATGATTTATTGATGATGGTCATGAAAGACAGCTGGAGAACAGTATTTGTGAGATATTTACAGGGGCTCTACTTACATTACAGTGTGTTGTTAGATAAAGTTTCTTCCTTATAAAGCTGATCAGGTTTCCAATTGTGGCTTTGCCAGTCACTCTCAGAAAATTTTTTGCTAAAGTAAGCTGAAAACAGAAAGAAAGTTAATGATCAATACATAATGAATGGCATTTATTCTTTCTAACAGCAAGACCAGTTACACAATAAAAAGAAAACAATACAAAGAAAATGAGATCCGAAGTCCGAACGAAAATCTTCTAGAAGTGTTGGTAGTTTCTGGAGATTCCTAATGGTATACAGAATTCAGTTCCATAACAGTAATCAAAGGTAACATTTAAAAATTTGATGGAGCAGTAGCTAAAATCCTTATATAAGAAGATAAAGAACATTTAAGGAAAATTCAGAAATAATTATTTACCTGATCACCAAACTCGTCCAGATCCCTGTCAACAACACCAAAGACAAATTCATACATATAGTTATACATTGGAGGTACTGATATTCAAACAGTTTACCTATATTTCTAATACAAAATCAAATGTGAAGGAAATGATTACCTAAAAGAACAAGAGGCCCAAGGGGCCTTAACGGTCACCTGAGGAATATATATCAATAATCTTGGGATTTTAAATGTAACAACACTTGTGCAGGACCAAGTGTTAAACATTTGCACATGACCCACCCTATGGTTCTTGAGAGAAAGTCCATAATGTCTTAGCCAAACAGAGGCCAGGGTGGTCATCTTGGATTTTGAATCTTTATTAAGACACTTGCCAGGACCTTGTGTAGAACATTCGTATCAAGTTTCCCCTTTTCCCCCCTCCTGGGGCCCCTATTGGGGCCACGCTCTTTTTCTTCGCAAACTTGAAGCAGCTTCCCATGGGGATGCTTTGTGTCAAGTTTGGTCAAAATCCATCCAATGGTTCTTGAGAAGTAGTCATTTAATGAAGGTTTTTACATATGGCCCCTTTTACATCCTTTATGGGCCCCAAAGGGGACATAATCACTTTTTTCAACATAATTTCATATGTCCTTCACTACGGGATGCTGTCTACCAAATTGGTCAAAGTTGAATTTTCGACCATTTTGAGCGCCCCCTAGTTGGGCCGTTTTTGACCCGGTTTTTTTTTTCATTCACAAACTTTGTAGACCTTGCTATAAGGACCCTATATATTAAATATGAATTTAATCTGACTCTTGGTTCATGAGAAGAGGATTTTTAAAGATTTACCTAATTTAACCCCCTTTTCCCCCCTCCTGCGGCCCCTATTTGGACCACACCCTTTTTCTTCGCAAACTTGAAGCAGCTTCCCATGGGGATGCTTTGTGCCAAGTTTGGTCAAAATCCATCCAATTGTTCTTGAGAAGAAGTCATTTAAAGAAGGTTTTTACATATGGCCCCTTTTACACCGCTTAAGGGCCCCAAAGGGGACATAATCACTTTTTTCAACATAATTTCATATGTCCTTCACTTTGGGATGCTTTCTACCAAATTTGGTTGAAATTGGTCAAAGTTGAAATTTTGACCCTTTTGAGCGCCACCTAGTGGGGCCGTTTTTGTCCCGATTTTTTTCTTCATTCCCAAACTTTGTAGACCCTAAATATCAAATATGAATTTGATCTGACTGTTGGTTCATGAGAAGAAGATTTTTAAAGATTTACCTAATTTTCCCCCTTTTTCCCCCTCCTGGGGCCCCTATTGGGGCCATGCCTTTTTTCTTCGCAAACTTGAAGCGGCTTCCCATGGGGATGCTTTGTGCCAAGTTTGGTCAAAATCCATTTAGTGGTTCTTGAGAAGAAGTCGAATATGTGAAAAGTTAACAGTACACGACGCACGATGACAGACAAATCATGATGGCAATAGGTCACCATGAGCCTACGGCTCAGGCGACCTACAAAATGATGAAATAGTTTTGCTTAACAAAGTTTAGAGCTTTCAACAAAATATTCACAAGACTGACAACAATATCCTGAATTTTTCATAATGTACTGTTTGCACAGAAATTGACCTACCAATAATAGTTTTTCTTTTAGAAATAAAACAATACAGAATTCAATCGTATTTTGTTTTCTGTGCAGTGGAACTACATCAGTTCTATTTTCACATACAATGAATTCATTACAGTGTGTACCTTACAAAAGGAAGATCAATCTAGTTAACGTACAATAGGTCAGTGGTATTGTCACTACAACATATCATTTTATAGTACAGGATGTAATAAATCAGAAAATGTGAATAAAAAAAATCATATAATCCTTAGTTATATGATGTTCATTATTAACAGTGCAGTTAACAATTGACCCTGTTTATAAAACAAATCATGTTGATGTTGTTCATCAATAATCAATATACAGATATCAACTTATCAAAGCCAGTATTGCCTGCAAGAGGCTTCTACATTTTAAATGGACTAAATGCTATGATAGTAGAACTATCCAGATAAATAATAACATTAAACAACATTTTTACTTATCAAATTTCACATTCTGTTTCCAGAACATCACAAGATACAACTTATCATTTACAACTGACTTTTTAAGAAACAGCAGTGGAAAAAATAACCTACCAATACTCAATATATAGACAGCCAATATAAGCATCCTCAATTTTATCAAAAATAATATCATGTTAAAATTGGTCACTAGATATTCAAAAGTCAGAGAGAAAAGAAAAGGTGTTTCCAGGTCAGAGAGTCTTGTTTTAGATTTAAAATTCTGAATTTGTATGAAAAGATGCTACATCCTTGTAGGTCTCTAACATAATTCCTTCATAAAGATGGTTAAGGTTAAGTATTTTATACTAACCCAGTGGGATCTTGGCGCCCACCATTTGAGGATCTGTTTTCAGTTCTTGAAGATTTGTTTATTTATTTTTGCTGTTGTTGCAGGTGTTGTAAATGCTCATGAACTGGTCTTCATTGAATGTACTCAATGATGGCAAAAGATATTTTTATAGGGATATAGTGATAAAATGAACACCCTTTATTAAGTTGTATACTTATTAAATTCAAAATGGATGATGATGGTGATGATGATGATGAAATGATGCCCATGTACAAGAGCACAACAAGTATAATAAAAGTTCTTAAAAACTTTTTTTTTTTTGTTTTTTTAAATTTTAAAGTTTATTCTATTACATTTATGTTTTTGTAACACTCAAATATTAGGAACTGTTGACATTTTTAATAAATCAATTCTTCTGTTACTTCTCATGTGTCAACCCATATGCCATTAACTCAATTCATTGCATGGTTTAGTATACATACCCTAAACAGTGTATTTATCAATGTTTACTTAATTTAGAAAATCTGAAACTTGAAAATGACTGATCATGTAGGTAAGATATAGCCATAAAACAATTACTTGCTGTTCAAATCCAAGATGGAGAGCTATTGGCTATTTTGTTTTTCAGATCATTTTAACTATGGGACAATGTTTAACTAGGTACCAAGAGGAAGCTAAATATGAAATTTGAGAAGGATCCTGTCACAGCGATAACAAACTACTGTATTACTGTCGACATCCAAGATGATTGCCTGTGGGCCACCTTGATTTCAAATCAGTCCTAAAAATGTACAATGCACAACTAGGGACCAAGGGAAAGCAATACCTATGAAATATCAGAAGGATCCATCCAGTACTTCCTCAGAATAGCGGCAACAAGATTTTACACTCAAAATCCAGGATGGCTGCCTGTCAGCCATCTTGATTTCGGATCAGTCCAAAAAAAAAAGGTAAAATGCACAACTAGGGACCAAGGGGAAGCTCCATATGAAATTTGACAAAGATCCATCCACTACTTTCTCAGAAATTGCAGTAACAAACATTTACTTTCAAAAAAAAGATGGCCAACAAGCGGCCATCTTGAATTTGGATCAGTCCAAAAAGGTACAATGCACAACTAGGGACCAAAGGGAACCTGCATATGAAATTTGAGAAAGATCTATCCAGTACTTTCCCAGAAATAGTGATAACAAACTTTTATTTTCAAACTCCAAGATGGCCGCCTGTCGGCCATGTTGAATTCGAATCAGTCCAAAAAAGGTACAATGCACAACTAGGGACCAGGGGGAATCTGCATATGAAATTTGATAAAGATATATCCAGTACTTTCCCAGAAATAGCGGTAACAAACTTTTACTTTCAAACTCCAAGATGGCTGTCTGTCGGCCATCACAAGTCCAAAAAAGGTACAATGCACAACTAGGGACCAGGGGGAACCTGCATATGAAATTTGATAAAGATATATCCAGTACTTTCCCAGAAATAGCGGTAACAAACTTTTACTTTCAAACTCCAAGATGGCCGTCTGTCGGCCATCTTGAATTGGAATCAGTCCAAAAAAGGTACAATGCACAACAAGGGACCAGGGGGAACCTGCATACGAATTTTGAGAAAGATATATCCAGTGCTTTCCCAAAAATAGCAGTAACAAACTTTTACTTTCAAACTCCAAGATGGCCATCTGTCAGCCATCTTGAATTGGAATCAGTTAAAAAAAGGTACCATGCACAACTAGGGACCAAGGGGAACCTGCATGTGAAATTTGAGAAAGATCCATACAGCACTTTTCCAGAAATAGCGGTAACAAGAATTGTTTACGGACAGACGGACCACGGACGCAGGGCGATTTGAATAACCCACCATCTTAAAAATTTAAAGCAATAAATAACCTTTCTTTCCATACCCAACAAAAAAACAGTTACTGTGTGTAAATATGATTATTTGAGAAATAACACAAGATATTTACCCAATGTATTCAAGGAAGAGTGACACACTGTGTGACTTAAAGTTTCCTAGGTTACGTTGTTTGTGAGACTCTGTCCTCTTTGGGGGTTTCACAGGCATTGGAGGTATGGAGTTAGGGGGTGGTGTCCGTGGAGGTGGTGGGGGCAGGGTCAGCTTAGGTGTTATTTGCACTAGAAACGAGAAACAAAGTCACTCTAAACAAAACCAGAAACAATGAACTTGGAAAACAATGTTTAAGAATCTCAACGAAACATCTTGTGATATGGCAAATATGTGATTTTGAGGAGAAGACAATGACATTAGAATAATCTTTGATAATGAAACATAAAATTTCTCAACGAGAACAAGAAAAAAATAACATATTGCTATGGATTTTATTTCTGAAATTCCATTTAAAATTGAATGGACTACTTCAGTAATATATCAATTCCTGGGGATGACAAACTTCTATGAAAAGTGGTCTTTGGAGAATATGCATCTTAACATTACAGGTAAAATATAGTGGTGTTTAAATTAATCATTTGTCCTCGTTGCCCGTTCCTATTGACAGATGGTTCCCTCATGGGCTAAATATTTCAGTGACAAAAACTTTCATTTTATCTTATCAACTCTCGAGTTACTATTTAATACCATATCAACAAGAAAACCTTTATCTTATTATTTGAAAAAGATATCTGCACTAATACATTATCTAAAACATAAAAACACAATATCATTAATGTAATATTATCAAGATTTCCAAAAAAATTAAAATCCTTTCCTAACAGGGATAAAGGTTTACCAAATGATGATAAACTTACCTCCTGTTGCTTTTTCGTGCTCTTCATAGAATACTTTCTCTCTCCGTTGTTCCTCTGAAAAAACAACAGTAGTAAAATTTGAACAGAAATCTTCCTTACGGATATGTGATACCTAGAACTCTAGCTATTAGTTTATATGATATAACTATCACTCAAGTACAATCACACTAACATTGCATAAAACCTGTGACAGGACTGGACTAGATATAGACTCTATATACAGTTAAAAAGAATCACCTTCATAACATACTGACACAAACCACCGTACTCACCGAGCTTTCCACTACTTTATTATATCAATAATCAAAGGATCAAAAAGTCTCAGAAAAAGTCTTAAAAACAATAATTCCTCCTTTTACAAAGCCTTTCATTTATTAAGTATTTTTGTGAATTGTATTGTATGTCTTGAAATTAAGTGTCATGCAATCCAATGTATATAAAACAAGACAAAAAGTCAGAAAGTTCAAAATGATGGATAAATGTCAAATTTGAATAAGAGCAAAATCTTGCTGAAATACAATATTGGTATATAATGCACAGTAGGTAGAAGATCATATACAGAGAAATTACAGAATTTATAGAATCACAGTTGTAACCAGTCATTTACCTTCAGCAATGTGTGGTAATAGTCTGTACACAATATCTTGAATTGTACTGTCATTTCTGAAAATTGAACATTATTTTGAACCTTAAAACTACAATGAATTTAATGAATGAAATGAATTAAAGAAAATTGTATACATTTATTAAAAAAACAACACAGTTTTGAAGTATTTTGATTTCATCTTGAAAAGTTGAACTTGGATAAGAAGTCAATATAATCAAAACAAAACGAAACATTTAAAAACAACATTTTCAGTGATCAATCTACATTTTATTTTCACAAGCCCTTTTCAAGTTTATTACTAAAGACAATGAGTCCCATAAAGTAAAATATAAATATTTTCTGAAATTTGATGAGTCCCATTAGAATTCTATGAGTACAGGACTCGCATGTAGATTCATCAGAGACTGCATTTGGATACCCTTTCGAACAGTAACAACTGGCTTATAGGGCCTGTATCGCTCATCTGGCTTTGCCTGGCTGAAATTATTTCATCAAAACTAAAGGAAAAGAATTCTAAATATAAAACACACAATGTACAACATGTCTATTTTCCTATTGGGCCCCAACCATCTGTTGCTAGGGAGACAGCCAACAAATTTATGCTTCAGACCAAATTGAGACAAAATCCAATCATTCCTAAAAGTGATGTTACTGGTATTGACAATGTATAGTAATTGTAAAAAAAACCTTTTTTTTTTAATAAAATGCATGTAACATGATCACTGAAGCATGAAAAATACTTCAGGATTGACAGTCAGTAAAAAGCAATGCCTCACCAAATACCTAGGGTAATCAATGTGACAACATATTCCTCAGGTTAAGTGCCCATAATTATAAACCAGTACATGTGATGTCATTACTGTTATTTCAGACATTTTAAAGCCTCCCAATCAAAACACAGAATTATCATAATTTCTATAGCACGCTTCTACAACCAAACCACAAGAAGTTGTAAATGTGTTTAGAGTTGTTGTAGTGGTAACATATTGAGCAAAACAAATTAAATCTAAAACTGAATTAATGACTGAAGTTTATCCTGAAATGAGCCCAGGCGGCCAACACATTACATGTCAGAATTTTTCGTAGGGTTATTTTCATGCGAGTATTTCAAAACACCATTTCAAAAATTATGATGAGTCAATACTAAGAGAAATTGTGATTCTTCAAAATTTGAGCGAATCCCACCAGAAAAACATGTGTCCAGAACTCAAATATCGGAGTCCCAAAAATCACTGGATGCTCATTTTACTCAAGTTAGATGGATGTCTAATTAAAGGGAAATAAAACATTAGATATTGGTATAAATATGATAAGATTAAATGTTGACTGTATTCATTATTTACAGCCTTTAATGTGCCAAGGATCTTTAGATTAATTAGACACAAAGTTTGTTTAGTTTTGTAATAACTTTTTGCCAATCTGAAGACTTCGGCATAATAAGATTGTGATACAGGTGCTAATGTTATGTTGACATTGAAACAATCTGTCCTTCCCTCGAACCAACAATGTAAATATATCAGTGAAAGTATGACTTACCTTATAAGGTAATGAAGCAGTGATACCTGGTAAAGGACTTACCTTATATGGACAAAAGGATCTGTGGGGTGTATAGCTGCGTCACATGTTGGACAGTTCAGGTGTCGTTCCGTGTGTCGTACAATACAAGTCTTACAAACTGGAAAGCATATTTGATTTAAATATTCTACAAGCAGTTGGTTTAGTTTTCCAGTAATTTAGAACTTTTTGTTGGCAATCCTCCAATTTTGAAATAATGCACCCAAATGTTACCAAGTTCTATGAAATCAAGAAAATTTACAGTATACACAAATCTAATTAAAAAGTTCTTGGAAACATAATCCTATTACAAGTACTTCTACCAAATATATAAACGTATATGAAATAAAACATGTAATGAAACTAGTTCTTTTTTTTTTTGGATGATAAAGGCAAATCTCGATGGATTTAGTTTAATGACAATTTATTATTTTCATTTTGATCAAACTATCAATAACAGATGAACAGTTGCTTGAAGAAAGCCTAACATAAAATTATTCACATTTTCTCAAATACAGCTTTAAACAGATAACATTTCTGCTTTTAGGAAAGTTTTTTCTGAAAACTGAAGTACACCTTTTTCTGTTTTACACTACCTCTATATCTTAATTACCCAGAATAATTAACAGACAATAACTTACATGAATGCATGCATTCTGTGATAGTTGATGCTTCATATAGATACCCTCCACATAGACCACATGTAATATAAGGATTAATATCACGAATCTGTACATTTATTGGTTCTTTACGTCGACTTGGGCTTTCAGGCAAAAGTGACAGCTGGAAATCAGAACAAAATGCATTAAATTCCACTGCCACAAAAGAAGTTTTTATCAAAGTTTATAAAAATCTTAATTTCTAGCTTGCTTCAGAAGAAGTTTTTTTTTTCAAATATGCTTGTATGCCAGAACTTATAAACATTATATATATATAAAATAACAATTTGTTCAGAAATGTACATGTTTTATTTAATATCAATCCATGTCACGGTTGTGAGAACAATGATTTCAATGTAGAATATACCAAAGACTGTTTCATACCTGGTCCCGTAAAGAAGCAACTTTTGATACAGGCAATGGCTCTTGTGAGTTCGGGGACGTGGACAGTGAATTATCTCCTGGTAAACTGGTGTCACTTATAGAATGGTCTTCAGCCTGTCACAACAGATAACAAGATACACCATGCCTTTTGAATTAAGGGACACTAATGATAATCTAAATTAAAGGATTTGAAATCTTCAGAGGTTTTAGGATGGTAAAGTCATTGACCTAGCAAGTCACTGCTATTTCTGTTACATCTTCTTACACTGCATGGAACATACAGAATGAGCAAGGGGTATGAGAGAGGTTATCCTACCTCCAGTTTGTTTAGTCTTGGGAATCCCACAAGAAAGAAATGTTTTAAAGAAGATCCCACAGCAATTGTTGTTCTGGTTATCTTATTTCTATGTAATTCAGAGGCAAAAGTCAGTTTTGATGACTGCTTATAGATTCTGAAAATTTTTCTAATTTAATCACTTTCATTTTGAAACATAAAGTAAGGTTATGCTTGTTGAAACACAGATACATGTTTTCTATGTACCAGTACAAATTATCAACAGTCTCTTGTTGACTCTTTGCTATATCAAACATGGATTCATTCATATACATTTTTCGTAATATGAAATGTGAATGTCACATTTTTATATTTACATTAATACAAACGCATATCAATATATATATTTATATATATATAGGTGGGCTGAATGCAAAAAAAAAAAAAAAAAAGAAGAAAATGAAATAAAAAAAAAGAAATAGCACTTGCTGTATTATCATTATTTTTCTTTTTTTTATTATAGAACAGTTTTGGACTCAATATCAAGAATGGGGCACTTGTACATCACTGGATCAATTCAGCATTTCTTTAGTTTGATAAAGTTTATGCTTGCTAGTGTAACAACTTCTTCAACATTGTACTCATTTAATTACTGTCACAGTTTACAAATCTTTGATTAGTTTGATCCATAGATATATCTTTTTAATACCTTTACTTTTGGAACCAGAAAGTCTTTAGAGTCTGTTCTATCTTTGCTGTTGTTATCGGGTAACATATTTTGGTCTTCTGGTGATACAGTTGGGGCAGCCTCGGACTCATCATGTACATAGTCTACTCCTGTCGATTCAGGATTGTTCCCTTCCATTCTTTCAGTTGAATCTTTTACATATCAAAGCAAGAGAGGTCAGCTGTAGTACTCAGCTGAATGGTGACAATCATATATATCAGAAACTCATATCACAAAAAATATTATTATTGTAATAAGGCTGTACAAATACATCTATTTATCCCCATGTTTGTCCTCAAGTTGGAAGTATTTTCATCAAAAAGGTGATTCAATTTATGTACTTCTGAATTGACAGATAGTGTTTTTTCATGTCACAGATGTCCTAATAAATCACTTCATACCATGTATCATGCTATGAATATAAAATAGACTAACTTATCTCTTGTTAATAACTTTTAATATGAAATTCTTCTTCCAGAAGGTCACCTAAATCATGTTCAGTACCATCGAAACTGATCATGAAGACAATAGCTATACTGAACTATCTGAAATATTCAAGATTGTACAGGACCTGTTAATGGTCACCAGTAACATAAAAGACTTGGAAAAGAATATTCTAAGTCCGTGGTAACATTACTTAACCTAACAATCCATTATCTTATATAATTAGGATCTAACTAGGGGCATGCCACAAGAACTTTTGATATCAAAATCAATATATACTGCGTGTGGATAATTAAATAACACGTATAGAAATCTCAACATTTGGCATGTAATCCCTTCATTGTGTCGTGTAAGCTCTACAAAAAGTTTATTGATTTCAAAATTTATTGTTACATGCCAGTCTGACTTATACTCGGTAACAATTATAAGTTACCTCAAAATTTACAGGAAAAAAACAATATCTAATGTCCTGCCCCGTATATATACAAGAACTTCCAACAAAGTTACAGTTACCCATTAAGTTCAGCTACTCATTCTCAATTTTATCAGCATTTCTGTTTGATACGCTATAATTATCAAATCCGATAATTTTTTAATAATCATAGGCCTACCAATATATATATCCAGACCTTGTTCTTTCCTCTCACCACCACCGGTATTTTTTTACTAATGAAAGTTATCTCCCCTCCCTTTACTTTTGTCTCGTTTGTTACGTGTCCGTTTATTGGTCCATCCTGCAGTACCTAACCAATCAAAGCAATCGTATCGTCAGATTTCAGTGATGGCCGAAAAGTGAAAATGGTAGGTGCACGTGGGTCTGCAGCTTTTTGTATAAATTTGTTGATATTTGCTATTGTTTGCGTATTGACGCGCATGTTAAATATTCCTTGTGGTAATCCTAGATGAATGTAAACTCCTAACATCGAAAAATCTTAAATCATACCGATCGTCCTCGAAACTTTTACATTTTTCTGAACGAGCCAGCTGCCCTGCCATGGCATAATGAGGTCCCAAAAAGAATTGAACAAAACGTATTTACAAATTTATCCAACCGTGTGGAAAAGAAGCAAAATAGCCTCAAATCATGAAAGTTCCGTAAATAGAACATTTCGTGACGTGGCGTAATGTGTTAACTTCCCAAATGTCCAGCTGTTTGTAAATATACTTGGGCGGCGGGGAAGTGGGGGTTGATTTTGAATGTTCATTTAAGGTTGAGGTCAGATTGATCATCTAGTGCGATACTACAGTAAATGGTACATCTGCATGAACTCTGTTTAGAAATAAAAGTATAGTTAATAGAAAAAAAAGAAGGAAAAAGAGATTTTTTAAAAATATTGCATAAATCCTGTTACAAATCAATATTGTACACTGGCGATTGAGCAATTTATCGAAACGAACTGAGATATGATGAAAGCTTTCAAAATCCATCAATATATTGTAAAGTATACGTAGCACAAACTTCTTTCCTAATAGATATTACCAATAGAATTAGGGATCATTCTAAGGAATTGTTTTAAAATTATGTTGTCTGGATATTAAAGGATATCAAAAATAACTTTTTTTTTCAGTCAATAAGTCATAAATACTTGGATCATGATCAGTTTACCACAAAACACTATTCTACATTCTGAAATAGCTCTCCATGAACATTGGGAAAAACTTGTGTTATTTTCCAAAAGCCGATATGTCTGTATTTAAAACAATGAAAGCTGTATATGTCCATATTGTAGTGTTTTAATTAAATAAAGATGAACTCTAAATGAAGCTGTTAGTTAATTTTAGTCAATTTAAAATACCCCATTACACATACCTAATACGTTATGGAAGAACCTTCAAACTTGAGAGTATTTTTATTTAGATCTTTTAAATGAGATATTTTCAGTATCAATATTGACATGCAACTTGTGTCAACTGTGCATTTAGAAGAATTACATTATAATTTCAATAACCATTTTTCTCAAGCATTAACTTTTAACATAATTATATTTCAATGAATGTAGAGATACATAGTTTTTGAGATTTGTTAATGGTGAGGAAAGATAATGTAGTGAAACTTTTTGGTCTTATTAAAATTGTAAATGCATTTTTTCAATGTCTGTTTTAAGAAAAATATTGTTGTCTTCTTATATATTAGGGAGTACAAGTGCTGTTTACGCTGTATGAGCATGCCTCAGGGTATGCTCTTTTCAAAGTCAAAGAGTTTGAAGAGGTGGGCATGCAAATTCCACAAGTTGAACAGAGTGTCACAGACCCAAGCAAATTCCAATCCATTGTACAGCTAGTGGCATTTTCTCCTTTCAAAAGTGGAACAAATGCCCTTGACAACATCAACAGCATTTCTGAAGGTAAAGTATCATGTACAGTCTATATAATGTCAAATATATTACAGAAATGGGACAAAAATTTTGTTCAGGATTGATATACAAAATAGACATTTTAATAATCATGGCTTAAAAAAAATGGGATATATTATAACCCTGATATACTGCTCGGCTTGATCTGTTGAGTGTCAGACTGGTAAGTCAGAGATCCTAGGTTCGAATCCTAGCGGAGACAGTTAAATTAATAATAATCTCTGTTACATTAGAATTTGCTGACAATTAAAATATATTGTATTTGTATTAAGTGTATCTCAATTTCACTATGGATAGTAAGTGTATCTCAATTTCACTATGGATAGTAATGTTGCATGTGTGATTAATTCGAAATTGTAGGCCTTCTTCATGATGACCTTAAACTGTTCCTCGAGACACATGTCCCTAAAGCTGGAAAGAAGGAGAAAGTTGTGGTGGGAGTGGCAGATTCCAAGATAGGAGCAGCCATTACAGATGAGTTAGGAATGAAGACCAGTCACATTGGAGTAGTACCAGAAGTTTTGAGAGGTAGCTTTATAGACTGATACAAAGTTTTCAATCCAATGGTCCCAGGCAAAAAAAATTTGAAATGTACACACTCGAAACGAAGTAGATGGAAAAAGGACAGTAAAGAAAATAATTGACAAAAATTTATATTTAAAGAGATGAAGAAAAATAAACAAGAATTTTTTCTGAGACAGCTCATGGACCTGACTCGTGAACAGGCTATGTGCCAATATTATTAGATGTGAAAATCTATGTGTATGATGTAGTTATTAAAAAAAAAAATAATGAGTAATGTCGGGTTATATTTCTGTTATTCATGGAATATTCAGTGATGAAATTAATATATATGAAATGAGGGGAAATACAATTGTTTAGAAAGTACACAATATGAAATATACAGTCATTGATGTTAAATAAATGCTTATAGGAATCCGAGTACACTTCAGTCGGATGGTGAAGGGGTTAAATGAAAAATCCGAGAGTAAGGCACAACTTGGTCTCGGTCACAGCTATTCCAGGGCCAAGGTCAAGTTTAATGTCAACAGACAGGACAACATGATTATCCAGAGTATCAGCTTACTGGATCAGCTGGACAAAAACATCAACACTTTTTCCATGAGAATCAGGTACAGCTTTTGTCTATAGAAAAATGGTGTAACATTCTAATATCTGGACAGTTACTATAAATACATAACACAATACATGTACCATATTTTGAATTTGATGAAATGACATTAATCTGTAGATGACTATATCACCAAAATCCGAAAGCCTATGTAGTTAGTAAATGTAATAAAATCTGCCTCAATATGGTAGATAGACAGAGACTTTTTTATTTTGTTATTGTTTGTAAATGATACAAAATTAGGAATAGTCATATTATGTTACAACAGGGTAAAATGTGGAACAATGGCATTGGCTTTGGGGTGTAATACAGGGTTTTGATTCCCTGTTTGGACAGGAACCGAGGTTTTCCTCGGGTATTCTATTTATTTCCAAAAATGGTAAAGTTTAAAGTTTTAACAATGATGAAATTGGCTTATGGACTAGAGTCTCTGAACTTGTAGTGTTGATGGCCAGTTCTGAGTTATGAGAGTGACCTGCAGCGTTATTCCATTTTTAGCCCATCTGACGGGCAGCCATATTGATTTTTGACCATAAAAGTTTGTTTTGTCTTTAGAAGTATTGGATAAATCTTTCATAAATTTTGTATTGTAGGTTTCCCCTTTTTCATAGTTGTGCTCTCCTGATTTTTCGAATGATCAGAAAAACAAAATTGCTGACAGCCGAACACCTTAGATTTGGCAGTATTTATGCTCTTTCTTCCAAGAAATTTTTTCAAATTTCATATGGATAAGAGTCAAAACATAGAAAAGATAGGGAAAAAATACAAATTTTAAGAACAAAGAAACGATTATGGGCATCAAGATCCCTCTGCCATCCCTTCGTAATTTCTTATATGGTTTCTTTATCTGTAACTTCTTTATTGTTTTCAGGGAGTGGTATTCATATCACTTTCCAGAACTGGTGAAAATTGTCAACGATAATTACATGTTTGCTAAAGTGGCACGGTACATTGGGAACAGAAAGGAGTTTGATGATGACAAGCTGGAGGGCCTAGAAGAGATTGTCATGGACAGTGCCAAAGCTATAGCTATTCTTGATGCTTCAAGGTCATCAATGGGTCAGTGTTATATGACACTTGTTATTAAAGAGGAAAGAAACTCACAACTTTTTGTGTTTAAAAAATTACAAGTATTGCTTCTTTTGCTTTAGTCATCACTGATAGCATCTGCCTTACATAGATTGGGTTGGTGACATTCTGTAGTACTTTATAGAAATTGTTTTGAATCAGGTCTGAAGGTCAAGATCACAAATATTTAGATTATCTCTTGAATGTCTGGAAGTTTCATTTAAGTTTTTCTTTTCAATAGGAATGGATATTTCACCTATCGACTTGTTGAATATTGAGACGTTTGCCACAAAAGTTATCTCCCTTACTGAATACCGCATGAGCCTTGCTCAATATCTCCAAAGTAAGATGAGCCAGGTAGCACCGAATCTCGCCACATTGATCGGTGAACAGGTAATACACATAAATATCTTCAGTCTTTTACTGTCTTCTGTGGCGTCTAGTGTGCAACTTATATTAGCTCTGTGACTCAAAAAGTAAAATATCTTTATTTTATGATTGATTAGCTTTACAAGGGATCAAACTAGATCAAGGTGATGTCAGCTGTAGGAATTCTTTAAGCCCTAACCACTTGTAAAATAGGATTGAAAGTAAAATGATTAAGTAACTATTTCAGAACAAATTGTAGTTCTCACAAGAAATGATGAAATTGGCTTTATGGACTAGAGTCTCTGAACTTCCTGTTGATAGCCACTTCTGAATTTTGTGGTATAAAAGTTAACCCATTAGGCACCATGTCTTCTGGAAATGATTTTCACCTAATATCTCAGAAGAGAAACATGTGTCACTGTGAAGAATTTGATCAATTGTAATATGTATATTGTCTCAATTTTTCAAAGATAATATGATTATCCCAACAGTAAAGCAGTTTGTTGTCTATATTAATGATATATCTGTTATACTGAGATTTAAGAAATTGAACAGCTTACAAGAATTTTCACATTTCTTCATCAAACATGTACTTTATTTGTCAATGGGGGATTTTACACTACTTTTACACACAAGCTAAATTTACCAAAAGTTATGTGAACAAAATACACATTCATTCACTAATGGAGGTGGGGGGGAATATAAAATTTTGGTGTGTCACAAAAAAAATAGTGAATGATAACAAAAACCTTGTGTCCTAAACCAAAATAGACTTAACATAAAATACGAGCTACATTTGAAACAAAATTGCATTTTGCACCGACATATGTCCACTGAGTAAGGCTGTGACTGTATCTTAAAATTTAGGCATATTATCACCGACACATCCCAAGATGGATGACAAAATGTATGAAGCAGTTTTTATTGTAAATGTCTTTTTTTTTACACAGTCTTGGAAGTAAATAATCGTTGTTAATGCAACAGTGAAATTGCTACTAATGAATTGTTGATCCCTATAAAAACATTGTACATTTATAAATTCATTCTATACAAGAAATGATGAAATTGGCTTTACGGACTAGAGTCTCTGAGCATTGTGATGATAGCCATTTCTGAATCTTGTAAAAAAAATTGAGATCTTTTCTAGAGTACCATTGCTTGAAAAAATTCCAAACTTAAGAGCGTAATAAAGTTAGATGTATTGTTAATGATTATGATGGTTTTGTATTTATTGATTGATATAAATTTATATTAAGGTTTTGTTTTAATTCTAAACAAAAACAAAGAAAATCAGAACCAATGTAGATATAGCTCTAAACAATCTGGCTTTATCAGGATTCTCATTTTCAACATAAGTTTTTGGTTGGGATATATGGTTGCTAATATTGAAACTGTTATGTAAAGTAAGTTCTGAAATGTGATAATGGGTGAGTTGTGTGAGAGATGATGAAAATGGCTTTATGGACTAGAGTCTCTGAACTGAATGTTGATAGCCATTTCTGAGCTCTATAGTTATAAATACTTAATAGACTTGGTACCTCTTATCACGTATTCTACATCGTATCAAATGCTTCTTTTCTGTTTTTAATGTAAATATAATTGCCCCACTGTAATGCTTTCAAAATTGGGTAAAAGTTTTCAAATATCTGTTAACATCATATGGATATTGAAAAAAATAAACAGCCTACATGGATTTTCAAAATGCTTGCATTGACCAGATACACTATTATCGATAGCAGGTTTAGTACCCATACTTATTGTATGTATCACATGAAAGCTATATTTACCAAAAATACAGGAAAATATGTTACTCAATATACCTACATTTTTCCTTGTTAGGAGAATTGTAACTGAAATAAAAGATATTGGATGTGTTACAAAAGGAAAATAAATAGGTGAAATAGAATTCCCTCTAAAATCATTAATAAGGTGATGAAATCTTACAACTTTTCTGTAGCTCACAGTGATCAGAGCTTAGATTTGCTTACAATGTGTACTCAATTGGAAACGTTGTCATTTCCTCTGAATAGTATTGTACTGTAATTCCCTGAACAAAAGCTTATACTGTCTGTTGAATCGCTGATAATTAATTGACAATCCAAAAAAGTTTTTCACATTCATGACTTCATTCTATACAAGAAATGATGAAATTGGCTTTACGGACTAGAGTCTCTGAACATTGTGATGATAGCCATTTCTGAATCTTGTGAAAAAAATTGAGGTCATTTCTAGAGTACCATTGTTTCAAAAAAACACCAAACTTAAGAGCATGATAAAGTGAATTGTACTATGAATAATTGTAATGGTTTTGTATTAAGTGATTGATATGATTTTATATTAAGGTTTAGTTTTAATTTGAAACAACAATAAGAAAGAAAAAAACATGGAAAAAGAAATCAAGGACCAATTTAGATATAGCTTTACACAATTTGCCTTCATCAGGATTCTCAGCTTCAATAAAATTTGCTGGTTGCTGATATTTAATGTAATTTTGAAATATAATAATGGGTGAGTTGTGTTAGAGATGATGAAAATGGCTTTATGGACTAGGGTCTCTGAACTGAATGTTGATAGCCATTTTGGAGCTTTATAGTTAATAATACTTAATAATAGACTGGCTATTGCTAATTATGGTTTCTACATTGTATAAAATGCTTCTGTTCAGTTTTTAATGTGAATATAATTGCCCTACTTTAATGCTTTCAAAATAGGGTACCATTTTTCAAACATTTGTTAGTGTCATATTGATATTGAAAAAAAAAAAAATAAACAGCCTACATATTTTCAAGAAGCTTGCATTGAACAGATACTTAATTTTCAATGTCAGGTTTAATATCCTTACTTATTGTATAGATCACAGGAAAGCTTAATCTACCAAAAATATGGGAAAAACATATTACTCAATATACCTACATACATGTAGTAACCAAAGTAAAAGATAGCTGATGTACTACAAAAGGAAAATAGATCAGTAGAATAGAATTCTCTCAGAATGATTACTAAAATGTGGAAATCTTACTTACAACTTTTCTGTAGGTCACAGTGATCAGGGCTTAAGATTTACTTACAATGTGTGTGTAATTATAAACGTTATCCTCTGAATAGTATTGTACTGTAATTCCTGTACAAAAGCTTACACTGTGTCTATTGAATTACTGATCATCAGTTGACAGTCAAAAAATGTTTCACATTCATGATTTCATTCTACACAAGAAATGATGAAATTGGATTATGGACTAGAGTCTCTGAAGTTTGTGATGATAGCCATTTCTTAGTCGTGGGAAAAAAAATTAGGTAACTTCTAAAGTTCTAAAATTGTGAAAAAATTGTTTTAAATACTGATAGTTCTGATCGTTTATAACTGTTAACTAGAAAGAAAATGTTGATATAATATACAATTGTACATATTGAATTTTAATGGTATAATACACTATAGTGTTATTGATTGATATGAAGTGACACAAAGGTACACCTGGAAATTATTTATTCAAATTTTTTTTTTTTTTTTTTTAAAGAATTTTTTTTCAAAAAAAAACCAAGAAATTAACAATTAACTGTACAGAGACATGTATCCTTTCAGGAACATTTTGGAATCTATACAAATTGCCTACTTTAAGATTTTCAGGTTGTTTGTTAGGGTTTAATGGTTTCAGTGTGTAGATATTTCAAAGAATAAAAAAGATAATAAAGTTTATTTGTACAAAGAAAAAAATGAAGAAATTGACATTGTAGACTGGAAACTGAGAACTTACTGTTGATAATATTTTCTGTTTTATCTCAACACTAATGACACTGGGCCACTTCTTATTCATGTCCCTATGTTCAAGATTACATACACACTTTACATTTATGTCTTGTTGTTTTAGGTTGGAGCCCGTCTGATTGCCCATGCAGGATCACTGACAAACCTTGCCAAGTATCCAGCATCTACTGTACAAATCCTAGGTGCAGAGAAAGCACTGTTTAGGTAAAGTGAAATAACATATATCTATTCTATTTCATTATTCAGGATAAACATTTTATTTAGTGGGCAATCCTGAATGAAGCTATAACACAAAATTAGTCTGAAGTTTAACCATTATATTAAGGAATAAATTTTGAAGAATGTATATTTTATATTCGAATATGCCAATGCTAACTTCTGCCGATACCTTGACAGAAATGTGCTCATAGGTGTCTTTGTCACCATAGCCAACAAGAAGGAAAATAAAAAGAAACCTGTCTTATCTTAACAGTTAAACATTTAAACTTTTCAAAACATAATCATATTATGATCAATATATTTTTCAATGTTCCAAACAGGCCATAGTCTTTACTGAACAGTACATTTCTATCTTGCTAGTTGCTATCACATTTTTAAACTCCTCGTCCTGATTTTGGATGATATTGACTCATATAGTTTGGATTAATATATAGAGTAATTAACTTAATTATTATTGTTATTCATAGGTAAATTGTCAAATCCTTTTTGTGTCAGTTTTGCATACCTGAGAATCCCAACAATCAATGATGGTGGCCTCAGAGTTTTCGATAAACCTTTAAAAATCTGACAGATACTGGATGTGCACACCTCGTCTTTGAATCTTTAATTTCCCAAGAAAAATTACACACATTATGCAGGTTTAAAATATCTTTTATCAAAATTTAGATGCAATGAATCATTTGCATTATTTTGATGTTGTTGTGTCAATTTGTGTGATATTTGAAATAGTTAACATCAACAATTGATATCTTACTTTGTGTTACAGAGCCTTGAAAAGCAAAGGGAACACACCCAAATATGGGCTCATTTTTCACTCCACATTTATCGGCCGTGCTGGAACCCAAAACAAGGGTCGCATTTCACGTTATTTGGCAAACAAATGTTCCATTGCCTCAAGAATCGACTGTTTCTCGGGTAAGAAAAATGAACCCTGAAACTGTGATGAAAGATTTACTTAAAGTAAAATTAAAGATGATGAAAATACGATGACATTTTATGCAATTAAGATTATTAAGCAGAAATAGGCTACTTTCACATATAGTATATATAGTATATATTTGTTTCCAGGGTACCCAACAGTTTTATGCCATTATTTCCTACTACCAATTTCCTTTGTCAGTTATCTGATAATTTTTCGCTTTACAGAATATCCTACATCTGTGTTTGGGGACCACCTGAGACAACAAGTGGAAGACAGACTGAAATTCTATGAGTCTGGCGATGCACCATCCAAAAATGTAGATGTAATGAAGCTAGCTATGGAAGAGGTCAGTTTGCTTACTGATTTACAAATTAGAAAATTTAATGATGAAAATCTCTTTGTCAATTAGGTGTAGACTTTCATAACAAGAGCTGAAATATAACCTATGACTAAATTACTTACTTATATATATATAGATATATACAGATATGATCTGCCAAAGTTGCTAAATATCTGACTATTGTTAGCATCAGCTTTGCTGTGGACAGTTTACACAGGTGAAATTGATGAGAATACTCCCTAGCCAATATAAAGTTAACCATCTAATGGGTGATCATTGGATCATGCATTTCATACAGAGTATTTTGTAAATACATAAGCATGTCACTAAAAAATTCTTCCAGGGTTACAATTTAATTACTTCGTTAGGCTTATTTTCTGTTGATTTTATAATTTACTAGAATATTTCATTCTGTTTGTCAACACAAACCTTTTATGACATAATCACGAAGATTTGTAAATGAGTCTAATTAGATCTAAAAGAATTTCTGCAAATTAAATATTATATGTTTATTTTATTGGTAAATTTAGATGTAAGATTTCAATAAGAACATAATAGATGATTTTGTACAGTTTCCTTCGAAAGCATCCGATGAAATTCTATTTTGTTTGGAATATCCCTTTAAAGGTCTCTACTATTAGATAATGGACTCATGGCGGAAATTTTGTTTGGAATATCCCGTTAAAGGTCTCTCTACTATTAGATAATGGACTGATGGCAGAAATTTTGTTTGGAATATCCTGTTAAAGGTCTCTCTACTATTAGATAATGGACTCATGGCAGAGATTTTGTTTGGAATATCCCTTTAAAGGTCTCTCTACTATTAGATAATGGACTCATGGCAGAAATTTTGTTTGGAATATCCTGTTAAAGGTCTCTCTACTATTAGATAATGGACTCATGGCAGAAATTTTGTTTGAATATCCCGTTAAAGGTCTCTCTACTATTAGATAATGGACTCATGGCAGAAATGTTGAGGTGATAGATAATACATTGGAGAAAGTATAATATACATGATTGTCCCTTGATCCGCTACAGATTGGCAATACTTACTTTGGTTTTAATGGTTCTGATGTGATTTAAATCAAATTTCAACTAATTATATACTTTTTATTTTATTTTTTTAATTAACACCAAACAACACCATTTTAAACCATTACTGTGTGATAGCTTATGGGTCAATACTCAGCATGCTTGTTCATATCTGTTTCAAATAGGCTACAGAGGTGCAGAAAAAGCTAGCAAAGAAGGAAAAGAAAAAGAAGAAAAAAGACAAAAAGAGGAAATCTGAGGCTGACGAGAGTGCAGGTAATACAACTATGGAGGTAGATACAACAGCTGATATGGAAGATGAAGAAACGTCTCCTCCTAAAAAGAAGAAGAAAAAGAAGTCCAAGGGTGATGAGCAAGAGGTTGCCATGGATATGGATGAATCAGGAGACGCTGGCAGTGAAGAAAAAACCAAGAAAAAGAAAAAGAAGAAGAAGAAGGATGATGAATAGAATGAATGTAATATTTTACTAAGGCAAATGGGTTCTGAAAACATATTGTAAAATATCAGGTTAAATGTAGGATAGAGGGTTTCTTATTGAAAAAAAAAGAAAACCAGAAAGACATATAATTTGACAAAAATCAGATATATATGTACCTCTTGCTTTTTGTACATAGTAAAAAAAAAAGTAATATTTGTTAAGCAAAAACCTGCAAAATCATTGTTGTGTAATTGTTTTTGAATACCTGACATGGATGGAAGAATGCCAACATCTTTGGAATAACTTATGTTTGATCATTGTATGTTGAATTGTTTTAGGACTTAACATTAACAGCTGAGATTTGCATTACATTATTTCCATGTTAAAACCAGCGAATTTCTTCTTTAGAACATGAACCTGTATTTTTCCAAATAAAATTTTCTTAATAGTAGTTTGGAATATACTTTATGTCATTTTTCTGGAAGACAGGAGAAAGAGTTTCATGAAAGAACAAAAGAATTTCTGCTTACTTACAAGTGTAACAATCAGAAAAATGATATTGTGTATGAATGATTACATTCTAAGCTACAAGTAATTTGATTTGATGATTGTATTGTACTCAACTTTTCAGTGACATATTTACACGATACAGAATCTTCATTTTTCATGAGAAAAGTTCTCCCTTTGTGTTCATTTTCATAGAATCTGTAAAAAGATTCTTGTTATCAGATTTTATTCACAAATTCATGTGTATTTGACATGTGTAAAGTCAACTATTTCAATCATTAAAACTGAAATTGACAAGTCTTGTTTGTTTTAGCTCTATTGGTCAAAGGTCGGAAATTTTTTTCTTTCATCTAAATGTTGACTTACTCAGGCAACCTTATATTCCTACTCTTAATATTTGGTTATCCTTCAGGGACAGAACTTTAACCTTAAAATAGAGCATAGCCCATGGCTGGTCCAAATCAAAAATCATACCCATAATACATTTAAGATGGTCATTAATGGCAGCCATGTTCAACATTTTGTAAATGTTTCTTTGAAGAATTATTGTTTTGAATAATCCTCCATAATGGATGATGTGGCATCGTCCAAACATAAGTTTTAGATCACCTGGCCCTTATGCTGTGACACAGCGTGTGTCATTAGTCAGTCCATTCAGCATCAACTTTTCCATTTGAATGACTTCCTCTCAATAACCAACATGTTTAATGTCATATTTAGCTGGTAGGTTGCTTGAATGAAGCCTGACAAAGTTTGAGCAAAGAAATGACCTTGCCCATATTCAAGGTCACTGGGGTCAAGTTTGTTAAAACAACTAGCCAAAATGTTAGAAGCATGATATTTGGCCAATAGGTTGCAAATATAAATAGCATCAAAGTTTGTATAGAAAATGATTTTAACGATATTCAAGGTCCTATAATGAAGCCGACAGAAAGTTGCACAAATAAATAACCTTGACTTTTTTCAAGGTCACAGGAGTTGAATTTGTTCAAACTTTAAAAAAAATTCTTTTGACCAACTAAAAGGCCAATAAACATTATGTTTGGCTGACAGGTTCCTAGGATGAAACCTGACAAAGATTGTAAAAGGAAATGACCTTGACCTTTATTCAATGTCACAATGGTAAAATTAAAAAAACCTTTTCACACCTTCTTTTGACTAACCAAAGGGTTAATTGCATGTGGACTGATTGGTTTGTGTTATAAATTCAGACAAAGTTTGCGAAAAGAAATGACCCTTACCTATATGCAAGGTCACAGGGACATTTAAACAATTACTTCTGATTGAACAAAATACCTAGAGGCATATTTGACTGGCAGATTTCAGTAATGATGCCCACAAAGTATTCAGTCACGGGGTTTGTTTCCTTAAACCTTTAAACAACTTTTGACAAGTATTCAAAAGGTGGTAGATTTTTTAGGATGAAGCTCGACAAACACTACAATAAGAAATTACCTTGACCAAATGTTACTGGGGTCGAATTTGTTAAAACATTAAAACAACTTCTTTTCATTAATCAAAAGGCATAGAAACATTATAATCGAACCTTTATTGTGCTCTTTAATAATTACTGTTTCTAGGGTATCTTGTGAGCAGGTATTACCTTACACTATCAAGTGTAACAAGTAATCAGGACTTTTTGCCAAAGGCCATGAGGCTGTCGAATGCAACTTCATATTTTATTTAACCAAGCTTTTTTTTTTACTAATGTTTAACATTTCCTCAATAGGTCTATGTTGTTCAGTTTTTATTTCATTTTTTATTAATGTATTTTGGATGATCATTATGAAATTTGCATTAATTTGAATATTGATTCTTAAAAGCGGATCAAGGAAATAACATAATTTCATCTTTTACTCTGCCACAAGGCTCTCGGCTGCAACATGTTTTATTGAACCAATCTTTTTTCATGCTTAACAAATAATCCACTGTAGGTCTATATTGTCCATTTTTTAATCAAATTTATAGTAATATATTTTGAATGCTCATTTCTTAGTTAACCCAATAGGACTTTATATTATACATAACTGGTAATGAAAGACAAAACCCAGGTTTTATACAACATCCAGGGATACTACTGCCATCTTATATAGTCTCTCTGATAAAGTAAGTCACATGACAATCACATGACAATCGCATGCCATCATTTGATGTCATTATACTTGAATTACCAATGGCAACAGATTTTATAACAAGATTGACAGAGCAAAATTTTCAGCAGTTATAGTGCTAAAATTGAACGTGTTTGTCCGGAAGTAAGTATTTTTCGCATGAGAGGAATATTTAGGCACAGACCTATGTATTGCTTTTCTGACGCCGATGGATGGTCTGGTGACTTTATACAACAGTCGCCCCTCCTCTACAATGAAAATGGCAAATTTCGGAGATGTGAGGACTATATTTTACAGTACATGTGTACTACCTGTATATAAACAGTTGACGCAAGAAGATCGCGGAAACCACTGACATACGTCGGCCAATGTAACACCATTTCTATCTGCAAAACAAAACTCGATGACATTCTATCAAGTATACAATGACGTCACCGGTAAAAGCCGACCTCTCAAGTCATTCACGTTTCCAGACTTGAGTTTTCAAAAGTGAATTTGAATTTTTAACGATAGAGTATAGCATCGCGTTGTCCGCTATAGACAGAGTAAAATAAAATCACACAATATCCTTACAAATGTTTCTGCATCATAAATCACATTTGCATGTTAACTACCGAGAACAGCATTAAGGCTACCAACCCTTACAATTTAACGTATCAGTGCTGATGATGTTTTTAATGTACTAAACAAGCTTGACTACAAGAAATTAGAAAGTATTGATTGTTGAACCATTGTAAATTCTCAAGCCTAATTTTTTTTTCACTTGGCTTGTTTTACAATATCTACTTTTTCTGATCACTATCTGGCCAGTTTGTCCTTTCCTGATAGGTCTAGCTCAAATCATACCTATTTTCACGAAGAAAGCTGTACATTTTTTATCTTATATAATACGGAATACTTATGCAAATGTTACCTTATCTGATATTGACTAAGACTCCGACGTTTTGAAAGAGGCCCTAGCAAAATTAATGTTCTAAACTGGTTCCAGAACAATATCAGGCTGATGGGTTGGCAAGAAGCCAAAAGACCTATTGACCTATTTAAATCGTTTACGTTAAAAGATTTTATATATATATATATGATTGATACTGTTAAATGTTTATGTCTAGATAAGGCTTTTGAATTGGATAATTGTTTGTCAAATATTTGTAGAAAAACCTCAAAATAAAGAATTGTTAAAGATTTTAATTTTCAAATAATTTAACGTTTCAAATTTTAACTACTGTCCCTTGGCTTGGCCTGTACTTTTTAAGATCTATCAAGCCAAAAAAATAAATAAATAAAAAATCAGGAAAGATTTTTTTGTTTATTGATCTTTATGATATAATTAGCTATAAGAAGCTATAAGGGTTTCAAAGATGCAAATTAATGAAAATTGTGGGGAAACTTTACGGTCGTCATAGTGATCTTATTGAGAATTTTCTATTTTTTTTGTGCGATGTAAAGGTGGGTGTTGTTGATGCTCTTTTAATTTTTGTCTGTTTGGTTCTGTTATTGTATACCTTATTCTCTTTTGTGAACGTGTCATTACACCAATTAGGATTGGATCTACCAAGGTTAACACGGCGGGTGTCGTCTAGGAAACAGAAGACGCATACTCTTTCGGAACACATTGTCTAGTTCTATATATATATATATATATATGGTACCTTTTTTCAGGAGTTTTGGTACCTTTTTTTTCAAATTCTACCTCAAAATATTTATTTTTTTCCTTCGTTCATAAATTTCCATAGTTTTATGGAATGTGAGCTTGGATTAATGATTGTGTTGACATGTTGGTATTTTATTTTTGCTCTCGTTACAAATGGAGACAACCTGAGACATGCGTTTTCCATAGTAGTTTGCTTTCCTTCCACAGTTAGACCTCCCTGCGAGCTTCCCTCCGGACCGTTCCTGTAGGTACATTTACTTTGGCATTGATTCCGTCACATTAAAGGTAAGGTAACAACTGTTGTTAGTATAATGTGACCCTAGGATGTTCTGATGTGTTTCATCAGTAAGATACTTCAGTGCATTTTTAGCAATATTTAGTCGACTTTTTCTTCACTATAACAAGGAGGCTAAAACGAGTATATATCATACATATACAACCACATGGACTAAGTACGTGCACCCACTTCGCATACATAAATAACCATTGCTGTTGATAGGACGTTAAGCAATATAAAACAAGCCAATCCATATGGACCAACGAGTGTGATTAATACAAGCTATCAGTTTGTTTCGAGAAGATGAATTGATTTTATAATTTGCAGAAAATTGAGAAAATACCTTAATATTTGATCATATGATAAAACGGATCTTAATTTTATTTATGCATTTGTGATGCCTGTGTTTCTTTGTCTTTCATTGTGTACTTTGATTAGAAATCAAACATCTTAGAAACAGTTCGTTTTAACTGCCATGTGCTGAAATGTGTATTATTTAGGAATTTTGGAAAGGGGTGACATTCATAATTACCATGTAAGATTCTGTTTAAGATAGGTGTAACGTAAGTATTCTAAATATGTATATATGTTTAAATATATATGAACCTCTATGCCAAACTTACGGTAATGTATGAACCGCTTTATCAATCTCACGATTACGTGCGAGCCGTTATGTCAATCTCACGTTTATGTGTGAGCCGCCATGCCAATATCAAAGTAATGTATGAACCGCTATGTCAATCTCACTGTAAGGCATGAACCGCTATGCCAATTTCACTTTAAGGTATGAATCGCTATGCCAATCTCACTGTAATATATGAACCGCTATGCCAATATCACTGTAATGTATGAACCGCTATACAAATTACATGGTAATTTATGAACCGCTATGCCGATTATGTAGT